TGTAGAGAGTGCAACACAGGCTTATAGGTCTAAAATGTATCATAGAGCTGGGGTTTTCCAGTTTAGGCACCAGAGTGATCATAGTGGAATTAAGCCCTCCAGGAATCCTACAATCCTGAATACTTTGATGGACCAAATCAAGGATATCATTAGCACAAGTGTTCCACTGTTTCTGATAGAAACAAGCCGGGAAGCCATCAACTCCAGGGGCTTTAAGACCCCCAATGCTAAAGAGATTCACCTTAACTTCTTCCATATCAACATCAGCCACCAAGGATTCTAAAGCTCCAGGGTCAATGCTAGGGAACATATTAGGAATTGTAAAGCTGTTGGTGGCCACCGGGGCAGGGGAGAACAACTCTGAAAAATATTGCATAGCCAAATTCTTGATACCATCCGATTCTTCCACCCAAAGACCAGCATCATTCTTGAGTCTGTCAATTTTATTCCTACGCCTTCTAATAATTGTGGACAAATGGAAGAACTTAGTATTTCGATCGCCCTCTTGAAGCCATTTGACCCTTGATTTTTGGCGCCAAAACATAGCCTCTTGGTCAAGAATATAATTAAAATCTGCAACAAGAATAGATTCCAGGTTAATAAGAAAAGTATTCGGCCCTTGGTGTAAGGCCTTTTGGAGGCCAGCCAAGCGAGCTAAAATTCTGGCTTTCTTTTGCTTGAGATGACCAAACACAGATAAATTCCATTGCTTGAGGGGTTCCACTAAGGCACAAGATTTATCCAAGGCAGAGCCATAGGAGAGCTCCCAGTTCTGAGCAATAAACTCTGGGAAGTTCTCATGCTTCAACCACATGGCTTCGAACCTGAAGGGTCTGTTGAGGGGGGAAGAAGAGAATTTAGACTTAAAACAGATTTTGAGGGGACTGTGGTCAGACTTAGTCCTTGGCAGGTGGATGACATGAGCATCAGCAAAGAGACTCCTCCACTGAGTATTGCAAACAGCTCTGTCGATCCTTTCAAGCACCTTCTTATTAGTCCAAGTATATTTAGGCCCAGAGAAACCTAAGTCACACATCGCATGTTGGTCAAACCAAGGTTTAAAACCTCTTAACCGACGTATAGGAGCACCTCCTAATTTATCACTTTTATTCAACATATCATTAAAGTCCCCAGCAAGTAACCAAGGCAGATTATGACACCCCTCAACAAATGAGAGATACTCCCAGAGCTTGTCCCTTTTAAATCCACAAGGTTTAGCATAGACTGCAGTAAAAATCCAGGGAGTTTGGCCAGGCCAGGAAATACAAGCAGAAATGGCTTGATCATGAGTACCAATAATTTCCACCTTTACCCTGCTATCATCCCACATCAGCCAGAGACCTCCAGAGAAACCAATAGGATCCACGATTTCAAAACACGGAAATCCAAGGGTTTTAACCATAGAAACAGCTTTCAACCCACTTATACGAGGCTCGCAGACAAAAAGAATTTCCATGTGGTGGCTTCTAATCAAATCTTGCATAGTATTTCGAAATTTGGTGCAGGCTGCACCTTTAGCATTCCAATATAAAATCGACATATAAACTGGTATGAAGAAGGTAAGTACTGCATGGCGACATTGGATTCAGACGTGCCTATGGTTCCGGTAGGCGAGGCTTCAAGCAGTGCAGGTTCATCGACCAAGAAGCCCAAGCGATTTGAGATCAAGAAGTGGAATGCTGTTGCTCTCTGGGCCTGGGGTAAACCCTAACTCTGATTCCTTTGGGTTTAAAAGTTAATAAATTTGGTATTCCAACCATGTACTGATGTTGTTTTGGTCTGTTGTATGCAGATATTGTTGTTGATAACTGTGCCATTTGCAGGAACCATATCATGGATCTCTGTGAGTAATTTTTTTTAGTTTTTTAGTTGTTAATTTTTTTCTTGATTATTTGTTTACTTAGAAATTTTGTTGTTGGTGATGAGTAGGCATTGAGTGCCAAGCAAACCAGGCAAGCGCCACTAGCGAGGAGTGTACAGTTGCTTGGGGTATGCTTCAGCTTTCAGTTTATGCATAAACTAATATTTAAGTTTTTGTTCTGCTTGCTAGGCCCTTCATATTGATTCAGGATAGGAACTTGTATAGATCGAAAAGCTTACTTGCATTTGTAAGCTAGACCATTGTGGTTGTTTTTTCTTTCCCAATACGTTCTACGTAATGGGGAAAGGGAAGGATTTGGTGGATTACTACTTTTCACCTGAGGTCATGCTATATGTACACATGGTGATTATCAAATTACACATCTAATTCTCCTTGACATGTTTGGGGCTCAGTTAATGCTTTAAAAGTAGAGAAATAAAAGGACTCCTTGATAAAAAAATGGGGATTATTTTCCTATATAAAAAGTGGAGGTTCTTGAAGTTGTATTAACTAATCATCCTATTTGCTCTAGCGTCACCTTGTTTGAGTTTCTGTTTTTATTAAGCAATTTATGTGCCCTTAAAGCTACATGTACCGCATGGTTGGACCCAAATTGGTTACCCCTTCCAGCCACAAATTCACTATTTCTGCCAAAGTCATCACTTACTTTGTTGAGTGCATCGAATCGAGTACCCATGTTGGTACCTCCAGCTCCCTTATTTCCTCCATCTTTAAAACCACTTTTGGGTTTTCTTCTAGGTGGAACATTCATCCATGGTCCCCTCAGGTTCTCAACACTAATATCCATGCCCTCTGTGCCCATCACCATCCCACCTCCCAAAGTCTCGTTGGCCCCTGTATCTGAGCCTTCACCAGCCTTCTCAGCAGGCATATTCTTGATCAAATCACAGTTTTCCTTTTTATGACCATAATAGCCACACATATAACATATTTCAGGGAGACCTTCATATTCAATGTTGTACCACACCTGGTTAATTTGAACAAAGGCCTCCAGGGGCTTGGTTAAATCTAGCTCCACACAAAGTCGAGCAAACTTGCCCCTGTTTTGAGAGGTTGTGAGGGTATCAATCTTCAAAAGCTTTCCCAACAGATTCCCAATTCTTTTTAATGCCCAAGTATCAAAGCACTCCAGTTGGAGGGCTGACACCCGAATCCAAGCTGCCATTCGAGTGATTTGGGCAGTAGCTGGACAGAACCCAGGCCTCCAATTTTGCATAATCAAATATTGGCCTCCAATAATCCATGGACCTCCAGTCAGAACAAAGTTGAGATCCTCCTCAAGTTCGAACTTAACCACAAAGTAATCATTGATTAAATCAACCAGTTTCCAACCACCCTTTAAGCTCCACTTCTGCTGTAGATGGCGATGCCGGCCAGGGTCCTTACCTGTTGTGCCTATTTTCATCCTTCTACTTTGTTAATTCAACTGGAGCCCATATATTTTTGTTAAGCATTCGGCTGCTCAGGCGTCTGATTGTGAAGTTCCTACAGTCAAATTTGGAACTAGCTTACCCTGTTATTAGGATTAAGCATTAAAGCTATAACTTTTCGCCTATATCTTGGTTCGCCGTCGTGCTTTCTTTCCTATAAATGATCATTTTATCCTATGCATTTTTAGCTGCATGTTTGTTGACCAAAGTAACAAACATGGTGGTGAAAAGCCATGGGAAAGTAGAAATTCTACTGGCTTTCAACCCCGCTTTGACTTTAAGAAATTTTATTTTCTCATGAAATTGAGCTTATGGATTTTCATTTTTAATCAAATAAAATGTTCTTTTTAAAATATTACCCAAAATAATGTTCACTATAGACATTATAAATTTGTATAATTGAGATATAATTGGCATATACAATGTGATCTTATTCTTAGAGAACCTGCAAAGTTGCAAAAAAAATTGTTTGTTTTTAGATAACCTACAAAGTTGCAAAAATAACCTAAAAACAAAGTTGCAAAACCCCTCATGAGGAAATTTTAAAATTTTGTTGATAACAAATTTTTAATGTTTTTTTTTATAAAATATATATTTATATTATATTTTTTTAATAAAAGTTACCATGGTGTTGTGCTGTCATAAGATGCAAAAGTTACCCCGAAAAAAAAAAAGGTTTTTAATATTCTAAAATTCACAAAAAACAAGTAAGAAGAGTTTTTCTATTTAAACCCTGCACTTTTCTTTGTTCACCTCAACTTCTAATTCAAATTTTCACAATTTCTAAGAAAATCCTACTATCTTCCCAAACTACCCCTAAATACACACCCAGCATAAAAAATTAAAAAAATAAATAAAAACTCATCAACCTCACACCCCCCTATCTTGCCCCTCACCACTCTAAGTTCACCTCAATCTCACATTACTTAAAGAGATAAAAATACTGTTGTCAAACTCAAATGACGACCCATAAGCCACTATTTGCATATTGTATTTGGGGTTTGTGAAGAGAAAATAAGGTAGTGGGGTGTGTGTATAGATGTACTAGAGTTAAGTATTAAGTTGGATGACCTTTTTTGTCTTTTTACACAATAATAAAACTTAATAAGAGCTTAATGATAAGTATTTGGGTGAACAACTTAAATAGAAAAACTCACAAAAAAATATCACAAAACCAAACCGGATCCAGCTTAAAATACCCGCCCCGATTGAATAAACCGAGCAAAACTCAATTCACGTTTCTCTCTCCCTCGTCTTTCATTCAAAGAAACTCTGGTTCTCTCTCCCTCGTTATAACTTATATCCAGATCCTTCACCGTTCTCTCACTCTTAAGCTAGCTGCCGTTGGATTCCTTTGTTACCGATTCGCAGGTAAGCTTCAGATTCCGTAAAAAAGTTTCCATTTTCGTAATTGTTGAAATTGTGGGATCAAGCATGGAAATATTAGTGAATTCTTGTAATTATGTGCAAATTACTGGTGTGTTTTGGTGGCTGGGATTTAGAGAATTGAAGTTCTAATTTTCTTTTCCTGGATTATTATTCTTGTTGTGAATCAATGGTTGTGAACTCCACTTCTGCGGTTTTAGTTTTGGGGATCACCATGAAAGTGTTGGTGCTTAAAAAAAAATAGACCTTTTCTCCTATCCTTTGCCCTACAAAAATAATTTACCTGATTTTTGTCCCCCATTTTCTCCAATTGTCATCTAACAAGTGGGTTCTAGTTTCTACAATATTATGAGTCTAATCTCATATGAGAATGCAGAGAAAATCAACTTCAGATATTCCTGAGTTTACCTATAATGAATTAGGACTTTCTGGTTGCTTGGAAAAAAAAAAGTAAATTTATTCTTTTACTGCTTCTCTAGGGTTTACCTCACTTTCTCTGCTTCCCTAGGGTTTCTAATTGAACTTTCGATGTTTTTTTAGCTAATATAAGCAGCATCCAGATAAGCTTTCGGAATTTTTTTGAAGCCCTCGAGAAACTGGGAACTGAGGAAAATTTGGGTTGGGGTTCCAATTGTAAAGAATGTCCAAAGTCCGGGATAGGATCGAAGATTTCAAAGATGCTGTGCGCCACTCGGCTCTCTCTTTGGGTTACAATGAGGTTCGCAAATTAATTCCATTGCTCTCAAATTTATTGAAATTATGGTTTTTCGTGTGAATCAAAGTCTTTTATCTGCAAATTTACAGTCGAAATTGGCAGCCATTATGGCAAAATTTATTATACATGCACCCCGCCAGAGGTCACCTTTCACCAGAGCCGCTCTCAAGACGGTACTTACACATTTGCCACTCTTCTTCTTCTTCTTCCTTTGTAAACTCTTGTGTTTTAATTCATTTCCTTTAATAAATGAATCAGATGGAAAGCATTGGAGCTCTGGAACAGTTTATGTTGAAACATAGAAAAGATTATGTGGATCTTCATCGGACCACTGAACAGGAGAGAGATAGCATTGAGCAGGAAGTAAGTTATCAATTGACTATAATTTAAATCCATTTTGTCTCTGTAGAAATTTTGAGTTTCCACAACTTTGTTGGATTGTCAGTGGATAAGTAAATTCTAGTAAGTTCATTTTACTAATTATTAGTATTGTTTGTGTTGATGAAATTGATTCATTAGGCAACTCTTCAGAAATATATATGTTACAAACTCTACAACTTCGTTTATGCTGTTCAATTTGGTTCCAAAGTGTGTAAATGTGCATGTGTAAGAACAAATTATTCTGTAATATTAAAGCTTGTTTCTTTGTCATATATCTGTTTCAGTCCTGTGTATTCTTTTGCATATATTTGTAAGAACCATGTTTGGTAAATGCTTGCGGACTATGATATAATTTGGCTAAGCTGTATGGTTTTATATTATGCTTACCTTTCCATTGTGTCATGATATGCAGGTAAGTGCTTTTATCAAAGCATGTCAAGAACAAATTGATGTTCTCAAAAATAGCATTAATGATGACGAGGCAAACTCAAAGGGATGGCTTGGCATTAGGACTGATTACTCTAATGCTGATACTATAGCGCACAAACATGGTGTGGTATGATTATTTCTCATATTGTATTAAGTGTGTCAATTGATGTTATATTCTGTCCTCATAAGCCTATGATCTCTAAGGCAGAAACCCTGCATTTCTCCACCTTGGCTTTGTTGAACATGGGACCTCTTGTGCCTCTTAGTTCTTATGGATGACTGTTAATATTCAATCAAGTTAATTAGGAATTTTATATTCCTCATTGTAAACATATTTGCATGAAATCAATGGCATATTTAGTAATTAATTGTCTAATGCTTACTCTTAAACCGCAGGTTTTGATTTTAAGTGAGAGACTCCATTCAGTTACTTCACAGTTTGATAAGCTAAGAGCCATACGCTTCCAAGATACCATTAATAGAGCAACACCTAGAAGAAAACTTAAGCGGATTGTAAATTCAGAACCTGCAGATGCTTCTAACTCCAACAATTTGGAGCTCAGGGAACCTAATGAACTTCAACCTGAGCCTCTAACAGTCCAACAGCAACTCTTGGACGATGAAACACGTGCCCTTCAGGTCATCAGAATCTTGGCTCTCTATTGGTTTTTTATTTTCTTGTTGTTCCATTATGTAGAACCCTGAAAATGGATAAAGTTGCTTACTGCTGTTCTTGGTATGCAATGCAGGTGGAGCTGACTAACCTTCTAGATGCAGTTCAGCAAACTGAAACTAAGATGGTGGAAATGTCTGCGCTGAATCACCTTATGTCCACACACGTGCTGCAACAAGCTCAACAGATAGAGCAACTCTATGATCAGGTGACTAGATATATGATATGTTGGTCCATACATAGGTCTTGTTTATTATCTGCTCCCTCCAATTTGCCTTTGAAGTGGTGGTATATGTTTAAATCGTACACAAAGTCTTAAGTATACATTCCAAAGACCTACTGCTAATTATCTCTGTTCTCTTTGACAGGCAGTTGAAGCGACGAAGAATGTAGAGCTTGGAAACAAAGAGATCTCAAAAGCAATCCAGCGGAATAGCAGCAGCAGGACGTTTCTTTTGCTTTTCATCGTTTTATTAACTTTTTCGGTTCTCTTTCTTGATTGGTATAATTGAATGTACTCATCTTTGTATAATTTTGATTCTATACTTGTTAAAGAGAAATGCATGTTCACCAAACTTTAGCAGAGGTAACCGAGAAAAAAATTCGAAAGTTGAGATTTTTCTTTCTCATCTTCGGTTCCAAGTTATGGAAAAACTGTATTTACAAATGTTGTATGTTTTATTTCTAAGAGAAGGAACAAAACTTGAGCCATAGCTATCACCCAACTTTTGTTCCTGTAAAGACCTTCCCAACTTTATGATAGTTGAGTCAACAACGATTTGATTTAGTATAGGCTGGAAGAGAATTAAATTCCCAAAACTTTCCTCTATATTTTTCTTTTTCCTGCTGTATCTGGAGGTGAACAGAACACGTCTGTTGGTAAAACAAATATTTTATATATAAAAAACAAGGAAAAGTTTATGAAGGGCTTAATTGTAATTCGATTAGCAGAGAAAACTTGGTGTCAAATTAGAACCGCCATAAAAATAAAATAAAATGGACCACTCAAATAAATATATATGAATTTCTTGGTTCAATTAATTTTTGTCATTTTAAATTTTATCATTTATAAATTCCTTAGTATTTTTAGATTTCTTCATCTGAACGTGAAAATGTGTTTCATAATATACTTTTATATTTAATTTCTATTTTCTGTCTGATAGTTACACCTTTTTTTTTTCCGCTCAGTGTCTGATAGTTATACTCAATAATCTTATAGATTACTGAATTTATATTGTTGATTTGCAAGTTTTTTTTTCTTCAAAATATGAGGTCTAAATTCAATTAACCTTAATTTCTCAACAACAAAAAAAAATTCAACTAACCTTATATAATTCTTCTCATTAATATTCCAAATAAGCTTTGACCAAAAAAAGAAAAAACGAAAGCCTCCTAAAACCAACATCAGCCCTCATACACACGCCCAATTCCTTCTCTCTCTTTCCTTATGTCAGCAGCCATGCCCAGTCAAAGCTGAAAGCTTGATCTGAAGATTGCTACCAAAGCTTGATTTGTTCAAGTCTTAATCAACCCCGTCACATCCAGATCCTTCACCGTTCTCTCACTCATCGCTCAGCTCTCTCACTCTTGAAGTAGCTGCCGTTGGATTCCTTCGTTGCCCATCTGCAGGTAAGATTCAGATTCCGTAATTTTTGAAATTTTGGGATCAAGCGTGGAAATTTTACTGAGTTCTTTTAATTATGTGCAAATTACTGGTGTGTTTTGGTGCCTGGGATTTAGAGAATTGTAGTTTTAATTTTCTTTTGCTGGGTTATTGTTCTTGTTGTGAATCAATGGTGGCTGCCCATCTTATGAGTTGGAAGAATTTGCTTGTAATCCAGGGTTTTTTTTTTTTAAATTCTTGTCCTTTAATATTAATATTATGCAGCGAAACATCCTACAATTGTTTCTGGTTTTTTTTTAAATAAAAAAATTGTATGATTTTCTTGATGTTTAACTAGATGGGCTTGATTTAGACTTGACCAACAGTATAATTGTGCTTTCTCAACAAACAATAAAAACCATCATTTGTGATTCAAATCCTGGCCAGTCGAAGAGAAGTTTTAATCCTATCTGATCTAGCCTAGGCTTCATGCCATTTCAAGGTACTGGCATGACTTTAAAATCTTACTGTATGACAGTTTGAGCATGCAATGTGTGTAACATGATGGTGAGCAACAATGACAAAACCCGAGATCTCTCCCATTTTTAGATTTGTATCCACGAAATGAAGTCATTTTATATGTAGACTTGGAAGAAATTGACAATGGCAGATAAAATTTCTATGATTTCTTTAAATATTTGATATAATTCTGTGGGAAATTTCATTAACTTGAATTTAGTTGGTACAGAACTAGTAACCGAAACAACAACATGAGAACAATGGCAGCAGCAACGACTTCGCAGCTCTCATGCTTCTCTGCTATGAATCGCCACCTCAACCTCCCCAGACGTTCGCTCCTTTGCCCAACCATTCTTCGTCCCAAGTCCTTGTCAACTACTGTTATGAGTCTTGAAGGCGGTTCCAAGACCAAGACTAGTTTAAGTTACACAAGCGATGCACCAAAAGCAAAGTCGGATCCCGTTTTAGATGATGAACAAATTGCTGAACCGAAAAGAGCGGCCAAGATTCATGATTTCTGTTTCGGCATTCCATTTGGCGGGATTGTTCTAAGTGGTGGACTTATTGGTTTCATATTTTCTAGAAATCCTGCCACTCTGAGCACCGGTGTCCTGTATGGAGGGGCATTGCTAGCCCTTAGTACCTTCAGCTTGAAGATCTGGAGGCAAGGAAAATCCAGTTTACCCTTCATTCTAGGGCAAGCAGCTTTGGCGGCAGTCCTCCTGTGGAAGCACGTTCAGACCTACTCGTTGACGAAGAAAGTATTTCCAACAGGCTTCTATGCTGTCATCAGTGCAGCAATGTTATGCTTCTATTCATATGTCCTCCTGTCTGGAGGAAACCCACCACCGAAGAAGTTGAAGCCATCTGCAAGTGTTGCATCTTGATAGAAAGCCTAAAGGTCTGATTAGGTATAAAGGTTACAAAGTTTGTATGACTGAATGTTTTGTTTATATGAATTATAGAGGAATTTGCTCACTTATAATGTCACTGTTAAACTTCAAATGGAGCGTAAAAGGTCAACTTCTATGGTGAGGCGAAACACAACATGAAATTTGAGCGAGTCTGATGTCTTTTTTGTACTTTTATGTTGTTGGTCTAAATCAACATGGTTGTCTTTCTTCTTCTCTGTTTCATGAAAGATTTGTTTATCTTGGAACACTGCTATTTTGGTGAAACAGGGGCTTGAAATGTTTATTTGGAAAGTTACAGTGTGATTTGTTTCTCTTGTGGTCTCTCTCCCAGCTCTCTTTCTTTGATTTTAAAAAGAACAAAAGGTTACCAAACAAACATTGTTTTTTAATTTAAATTTTTTTCTATGAAATTTCATCACATATCAATCCACGCACTTCTTTTGGTTTATGATAACCACAATCAAACCCTTCCTTTTTTAATGGCTTGGGAACCAACCATCTTTTCAATGTATTTTTATAAGAGCAACTACCGTAGTAGTGTGACAAAGATTGTGTAATAAGTTGGTGTCTCTAGTATTATTATTTTTATAACTTTTTTCGTCGACATAAAAAAGTTAAACCTAGAAAGAGACACATAAAAACTTATAAAATCTGTGTAACTTTTCTTGAACATAATTCAGTGATTTATAGCACCACCTTAATCTAATAATGTAGAATCTTTCAAGAAACGAAGCATGCAAGCAAAGTTAAGCTATAATATATGAAAAATATAAAGGTACGGGAAGTTAAAAATTAGGTCTAAAGAGTAAATTTACAATTCTCTTGGTAAAGTAAAATACCAAGTTGGGGTTGCATCTAATGCGCCCATCTTCATCCTCATCACCGTCACATTTCCATTTTCGGCACACCCACGACCCTAAAAACAAAAACAAAAATTTGAAAAAAGAAAAAAGAAAAAAAAAAGAAAAGGGAAAACACTAAACGGGCCCCACAATTCTTCTGATGGAGATGGAAGGTGCCCTACAACAAAGAGCACCTACGAAGCCGACACCTGTCGGCATTTCCATCGGACCCATCCAACCTCGATGGGGACCACCACACGCCAAGGCCGCCTTGGTAATGGTGCTTTTGAACGGTCCAGCTGGAGGGCCCCCACACTCTTGGGCCCCGCTCCCACCATCACATGGACACTGAGATGACGTAGGCCCCGCGTTTTATATAAAAATATAGCTCTCACAAGTCTTACCCACCACCCCGCGACCCACCCTTTACACGGTGCACAGAACAAACCCTAAAACCCACTCTACCCCACCATCACCCGTGTGGTCCCCACCTCCGCCTAATCCAACCCCACTTCACACGTGCATCACCTTAAACCCCTCCCTCACGTGACCACGTGCCCCCCCTTTCCCTGTCCAAAAACAAAAACATAACCAAAAAAAAAACCCAAAACCCAACGCTGAGGAAGACGAAGCTAAGCAGATAGCCGTACAAAAACCGTCAAGATTTCGCCGCCAAAATCTGAAATCCCAGAAAAAACGCTTTCTGGGGTTTTCAGGGTTTTTGGCTTGTCAATGGTTTGAAGAACCAGACATGAATTGAAGCTCCTTCTTGTCGTAAATTTCCAAAGAGAAGTCTCTGAGCGTCTGAGGGGCAGTGGAAGCGGCCATATGGGTCGTTGCAGAAGCCGAACTGGGGCCCACGAAGGAAGATATGGGTCGGGCCGAAATGTTGATAAACGGAGCGGCGGCAACGGTGGTTGGAAATGTAAATATGTGAGGCTGGGTCGAAGCGGATGGGACCATGAAGAAAGCTCCGGGAACGACGCCGTTTGACGGTATGGCCCACATGGGGAGCACGCCTTGGGGTACCACCGCTTGCACCGCTGCTGTCGGTGGCTGTTGGTGATGTCGTTCCGTTGTTAAAGGGGCTAAACCCGCCGAGGCCGAAACGCCGTCGTTCAAGTCCACGTACTCGCTGTTTGAGTTCCGCTTGCGCTTTTTCTTGTCGGGCGGGTCCTCGCCGGGTCTCGGGTCCGGAGCGGACGTGGGGATTTTGAGCGCCCCGTTCACGGACATCGCGATCGCAGGCACGGTTCCGGTGCCGGTGGCGGCGATGATGGCCGGCTCGGCGTGCTCCAAGAGCCACCGAATGGTCTCGCCGTCGGACTTGTGCCCTAGCTCCCGGGTCAGCTGGAAGATCCGAGCCGCGCAAGTGGCGGGG